CCACCCAGGTGCCCCATGTCCATGCATTTAGAGTTCTTCCTCTTAACTGCTAATTCTTATGTGTTCTTGCCTCTTTCACACCTGGGTTCATTCTCCTCCTCATAGATTCATTCTCCCCCATTGCTCTGTACCCTTGGAGAATGGAGAGAACGGGTGTTTATACTGTTCAGATCTCTTCAGGGTCTCCAGGGTAGCCAGACCGTGCCCTGCCTCTGAAGCCCTCGAGGCTCCCTCCCCCGATTTTGGACGTGTCGGACACCCCTCTCCTGGTCTTTGCTTCATCAAGAAAGCAGTTGAAATTCTCAGTGTCTGCACAGCGGGCCTGGAAAGCCCTGCTCGGAGTCTGAGGACTGGTGACAAAGAGGCAGTGATGACGGTCAGTCGAGGAAACACAGTCCTCCTGTTGTTTGACTGTACTTATTTGCCCACAGCCTGCCAACAAGGTCAGCTCTCGAAACACAGCATGCCATTCTCCTTTGCTTAGAGCCTGCGCTGAGAGAGGGCCTGGAGGAGCCAGCAAGGGTTTTGCCAGTGGTTAACTTTGTTTACGGGCTCTGAAGGTTTCTGTTTTATGAAAGTTTTCTTGAGGGCTACTGGAGCCGCCATCAGAAGGACAAAAACCACTAGGGGAGCTTATGACTTTTTACTGGTGAATTTTTCCGGATAAAGTCTAAAATCTATATATTCAGACTTAATACATTTTCTAATTAGATCCCATAACAGGGCCCCAAGAAAATAAACCCACAAACTTGTCAGTTTTACTTTCATTGGCATCTTGGAAAGTGAGATGGAGAGAATACTAAGGTATTTTATTTTCTTTGGGGTTTAGGAAAAACTTTTCTTAATCCTTGTTGATTTTGTGCCTCTTCTCTCACCATTTTCTAAATGTAATCATACATAGATTTATAAACCCAGGTACTAAATGTCGACTTTAAGAGACTCTTTGCACTTCAGGATGTCAAAACCCAGTATATGTGAACCCAAATATGTAGGAAATATTTGTAACACTGTTAATAAAGATGAACTATGGCATGAGTTTGGAGAAAATGGTTTATTTAAAAAACTTTAAGGTGTTTCTGTGGAAACTTAAGTAGATTCTCCCCCCCCCCCCCCCCCACCTTTTGTGGTGGAAATCCTTCGAAGTTTCTTCTGGTTTTCTCATTTTCCTTCTAGGGATGGAAAATAAAAGCCTTGGATTTGGCTGGTAAAATCTATTCATTTTAGCATCATTTTTTTTCATTTCTAACTAGTGTTTACCACTCCCAGCCTGTCCTTCTTGTCCTCTTCTCTACTTCTTTCCATATGGCTCCCTTTTGCTTCCCCTCCCGGAGCAGTGTCCACAGCAGACTTTCCTAGGTGGCTTTCCCCTGCTGCCCAGCTCTGGGTGCCAATGTCTTTGGAGAAGTCTGAATTAGACTCTTAATCTTTCCTTGTTTGCTCTCTGTGTTGCTGCAAAGGAGTTAATGAAAGTTTGATTCTTCACGTACAGATCACAATGGCCACTGTTAAAAAGCCTTCAGCATCTGGAAAGTCTTTGACTTGTGCTGGGGGCAGTGAGATGATAAATGTTATGCTTTCCCTGCAGAAGAGTTGTAGCAAGGCTTCTTCTAGTTATTCAAAATTATATCTTTCCTTTCTTAAGAGTACTTTATTTTTTTATTTTTTTTTAAAGTGCCTGCTTTGGCAATGCTAAAACTTTCCAGCAGTCGTAACAGGAAGAGCCCACCACTGGCATATTTCTAGGAAGCCAGGAAGCACTAAAGCTGTGATTGTGATGATGAGTGGCAATGACAAGCTGTTTTTGGTCTAGTTTTTTGAGGAAAGTCTAGGAAAGATACTTTCACTGCTATAAATAGCCTAGCAGATGGATTCTAATGGATGTACTCTTTTTGAAAGACGATATTCCATAAAATTCTATTGAGGATTTGTGACTGACTTTCAAGATGAAATGCTGCTTTATCTAATCTTTTCTGCTGTTGCATTTAGCTGCACTTTCCTCATGGCAATATTGTTACTGTACATGTAAATATGTAATTGAGGTGCACTTTCTTGGTCAAAAAATGCTATGTAATTCTTATAAAAATTAATATCACCACTTCTCAAATGGTAGGCTCTTTTTGCATCACAGACTCTGGTCTCATGAAAAAGAGAAACTGCTATTTTCTTTTGAATTAGAGGATAGTTTTGAAGTTTGCTACTAGAAATAGAATATATAAAAAATTTAAGTTTACTGAATACAAATGCTCTGTTCCTGGTTGGCGAATCATTTAGAGTACAGGTAGGTATAGATGTACGTTTTTACCTTAAATAAACTGCTAACAAATCTAATCCACCAGTATATTAAATGAGACACATGATACATTAATTGTCAAGATAGGATTCGTTACTAACTCATTAAAAAAGATCTATTTTCTATCAAATGCCAACATTGTTCTTAATGATGAAATACCATAGAAATTCCCTTTAAACAAGACCAGGACATCTGCTGCTACTGCTCTTAACAATTAAAGGTTCTCAGGTCAAACTAACAGATGAGAAATAAAATTACCATTAATTGAGACAAAAAGACCATCTACATTGAAAATCCAGGAAAAGTCAACTGTGAAATTATTAGAGTGAATAGAAGACCTAAAATAAATATTAAAAATCCATGTTTTCTACATGATCTTTATTTTTTTATTTTTTTTTAAAGATTTTACTTATTTATTCATGAAAGACACAGAGAGGCAGGCAGAGACACAGGCAGAGGGAGAAGCAGGCTCCATGCAGGGAGCCTGATGTGGGACTCGATCCCAGGACTCCAGGATCACGCCCTGGGCTGAAGGCAGGCTCTAAACCACTGAGCCACCCAGGGATTCCTCTACATGATCTTTAAAAAGCAAGTTACATGTCTGCAAATATACATAAGAGAATCATAAAACAGGAAGATACTATTTAAAATAACAGTGAGAAAAATGCTCGGTGAAATTAAAAACATGACAGCCCAAATAAGGATTCAATAGAAATCTAGAAGATAAGTTTGAGAAATAGTCTTAGAGAACCAAAACTCAAAGAGATGAACAGAAACAGAGGAAAGATAAGAAAACTGGAGGATCTGCCTAGGATGTCCATGATCAGATTAAAAGGGATTCCCGTAAAAAAGAGCAAAGCAGAAGGGAGGAAATTATCACACATACACACCACACACAAAGACCATTTCACTGCATTGAATGTCTAAAGCTCGTACTTTTTTCAGATTCCCTTAATTTTTATCTAATGTACTCTTTTTCTAGGATACTACAATACATTCACCACGGCTCCGTAGGCATCCCTTAGGTGTGACAGTTTCTGACTTTATTTTTGATGATCTTGAGAGCTTTGGGGACTGGTCAGGTATTTGTAAAACGTCCATCTGTTGAGATTTGTCTGCTTTTTTCACAACTAGACTGAGGTTATGGATTTGGGGGAGGAAGATCACAGAGGTCAGGTGTCACCTTCATCATATCATATGAAGGGCACCTACTCCCCACAAGTGCTCTACTGATGACCGATGTCACCTGGCCTAGGTGGTGTTTTGTCAAGTTTCTCTACCGTGAAAGTTATTCTTCTCCAGCCCTGTTCCCTACTGTGTTCTCTGGAAGGAAGCCACTAACCATGTTGGAGTGAAGAGTTCCACTGCACCTCAAGGATGAAGTAGCTACATAAATCACTTCAAGAAATACTTTAGGAGCGTGACTGTTGGATGGTGTGGTAAGACCAAGTTGGGCTGTGTTGAGAAACTGCCTGTTTTCCAAAGTGGCTGCAACACTTTGCATTCCCATTAGTAATGAACAAGAGTTCCTGTTGCTGCTCTGCATCCTTACCAGAAATTGATACTGTCAGTTATTTTTTAAATTGTAACCATTCTTTTTTTTTTTAATTTTTAAATTTATTTTATGATAGTCACACAGAGAGAGAGAAAGAGGCAGAGACGTAGGCAGAGGGAGAAGCAGGCTCCATGCACCGGGAGCCCGACGTGGGATTCGATCCGGGGTCTCCAGAATCGCGCCCTGGGTCAAAGGCAGGTGCCAAACTGCTGCGCCACCCAGGGATCCCTAAATTGTAACCATTCTAATAGGTGTAGTGGTGTCTCCTTGTTTGTCCGTGCTGATGTTTTTAAGTTACAGGAGTTTAACAAATCCATGCCTCATAATTCAGGAGTACCTCTGGATCTTTTCCTATTGGTCTGATGTGTGTGCCAATTCTTATTCATGTATTGTTTTTGCGTGTCTGCCTACATTTGATTATATGATGAATACTGTATTTGAAAAAGTATTTGTAGAATACAGAGAATGACATTTTCTTCCTCTAGACAAGATTTCCATATGCTTCTGCCTACTACTAACCCAGAACTACCTTATTCTCATTCCAAAGTAAGAGATTTTTCTAGTCCACCCAGGTAACTTGAAGCAGGGCTGCTTTCCTTATACTTCACCCTTGCTCCTAGGATGCATCCCTTTGGAGGTCACAATTCTAAGTGCAGGGTGGTGTGTGGATACTTCTTCTCTTGAACCCCAGCCCTCTGAGGCTGATTCAACCTCTCAACCACTTTTTCCCAACCATTAAATGCTCCTTGAGCAAAAGAAGCTCCAATTGTTGGGCCTGGCAGAGTGAATTTCTTTCTTCTCCCAGATCTTACCCTGGCAATTCCTCACTATCTTATTTGTTTTTTAGAATGTTTTAATTTGATATCATTTTATTTCCCACTGCCAAGAGTGAAAGCAGGGTCCTGGGCTCCCTTTGCTTTACCCCATCCTTCAGGTCTCCCGCTGGCTTTAACAAGTATGGTAAATATGGCTGTATAAGATATACAGTCTGGGAAGAAATTGTAACAAATGAAAAATAAGAGTCTTGTCTTCTCCTTTTCCAGTTTAAAAAAGAAAAAAGCTTGTGACTTATTAGTCACGGAGCCACTGATCTGAAAAATCCTACCACCTCCTGGGTCAGGACCACTAAAAACAAGCACACAATTCTCCACAATCTCTTACACAGAGAGAATTTTATTACTGGAAAGCTCATACAATGTTTTTGTATACAAAGTTCAAAAATGCCAAAAACTTAGTATTTACATTTTCCATACAGTACATGATAATCTTCTTCTTATGCTAAATAGAGGAAAAAAACCCAAAGCATTAGAAACCATTCTTCAAGGTATAACACTTAATTGGAAATAAAATTAAGAAAATTCTTTAATATTTTAAAGTATGTTATATAAAATATATTTTGTTTATCAGGACTACATTTTTTCCCCATTTGGCTGGCACTAATATTGCTAACATATTTTTTAACACACTTTTAAATGTTCAGCAAACCCTATTTAAGTGCAGAAATGAATTCCACATAATGTCTGAGAAAGATACTGTATAAATTTCAGTATTCTAAATGTTAAAAAAATAGTTAAAGGGATAGCAACTATAAATCTTACAAATACAATCTTGAGTGGTCACAAAACAGTTTTTTTTTTAAAGGAAATCAATTGCACTTGGCTTAAAAGAGTAACATTTCATCTAATCCTTCAGGACATATTATTTAAAAATGTAGAACGATCAATGAGCAGCATAATACAATCAACACTGGAGATCAAGCACCTTATTTTAGTGGCATAACAGATGTATAAAATTCCTAAAACAAGACTTTATAAAATTCACACAGGGAAGATGATGAAGCGGAATAAATGGATTTTTAAAGTTGAATTTCTGTTATAACACTTTCCAGTGTGTCAGGTGCCAGTTATTTTTTATACTATAAAAGAATACTATTTTTCAATTTTCTTAGAAACTCAGTGTAAAAGCTACCAAAGTAGTGCTAAAATATCAGAAGAACATAAAAATATTTGAATAGCTTTTCCAGGAATTCTAAAAAAAAAGTTCAAATACATATAGACTTATTTTCAAATATATAAAAAAGATACAAAGATAAGTTTTAAATACTTTAGCAAGGAAATATCTTGATTTTATGCCATAAAAGTGAAATAACATATAGTACATCTTAAAATACTTTTAACAAGAATAGAATCTTCATAAATAGAAAAGGAAGATTCCTCTAATCCCTTCTCCCACGCAACTTAAAAAATAATTAACCTGCATATTTCTGCTTTCTGGGTATACTGTCATCATTGACCTCTGAGTGAAATGAATTCTATTATTTTCGGAATCTATTGTGTCCAGCGTAACAGTAGGCAATGCAGCTGTCAGTGCAGAAGAATATAACAGTGATATGGACAAGACAGCGTACTGTCACTTCCAGTGTAACATGAACCCACTCCTCAGCATCGGGACAACCTGCTTCTCACGTATCAGAGTGACTTCCAGTGCCAGGCTCTTTTCTACCTCCTGAAGCTGAGTGAACGAGCAGTGATGTGGAGCCTTTCAGGCTGCCGGGTTCTGAAGAGCCTGGGACCTGCAAGCTGCTGCTCTGCACTGGGCCGGTTTCAGTAACATCACTTTTTGGAGTTACCCTAGGTAAAAAGATGAAAGTCGACATACATACAGACCAAAGCACAAATGTGATGCCAAATGTCCTTACAAATGCTATCTACTTCTCATGAGTTTTACTCCCAACTAGTTTCCACTTTTATCAGAGCATGATTAACTAAAACTCCTTATGTGTACCCTAATACTTCAAAATGCAAATACTTATTTTCATTTTTTAAAAGATTTTATTTATTTATTTGAGAGACAGAGACAAAGAGAGCACATGAGTGGGGGCAGAGGGAGAAACAAGCTCCCAGCTGAGCAGTGAGCCCAATGCAGGGCTCCATCTCAGGACCCCAGAGATCATGACCTGAGCTGAAGGCAGCCGCCTGACTGAGCCATCCAAGTGCCCTCAAATACTTTATTTTCAAATACAATGCTAACTTCAGAAACTGCATTAAGCACCCTGCATGCATGGGCTGAACATGGTGTGGCATGGGGAAAACAATTAGTAAGACAGGATTCCTGCCCTTGGTTGAGTAAATATTTTATTCATTTCCCACCAAGGATGAGATATTGTGTAATACCAACACAAAGATGGAAATACAAAGATGCATCAGACCACAGCTCTGCCATTGAGGGTTTGCAAATTTAGTGAAGGTTTAAAGGCACGTGTCTAATTAGAATCTGGTCTGCAAAAGCTGTTGTGGGAACACAAAGAAGGAGCATTTGGTCTAGTTTGGGAAGACAGAGGTGAGACAACCTAGAGACCTAAAAGTACTTCGCTATTAGCATTCTGGCTCATTCGATGTTTACCTGTGTTTGGATCACTTATGACCATTTGGAAAAATTTCATTAAAGATAATGTCAATATCCTTTCGTGTTCAGAAAATAAGAAACATTTTATAATCATCTTCATAAAAAATGACAAATGCCTTTTAGCACTACGACACAGTACTAAAATTTAATAGCCTGTATTTCAGAAGGATCTCAAATATTTACCCAAATATACATGCAACCTTGAACAATTACCATAGGAATGACTGTTACTTTCCTACTTGAACAACATTCATGAAGGCTCTTTTCAAAGCTAAGAATTAAACTACCAAATAGCACATTTATAGGCTGAAGCTAAACTTCCTAAACCCAAACTTCCTTGGACTAAGTGTATGGACATGTCATCTAGAACATTTTCTTTCCAGGTATGCTATGCTTTAATAATAATAAAAAAAAAGTATAATGCAGAATTCAAAGGAGTCCTGATTTAAGATAACAAAAATCAAAGCTCACCTTCCTTCACTCCGTGTACTTTCAGATATGCTGATCTTATCAGTCCCATTGCCTGCCCGGCCTTTCCTGTCAGCCTGTTCCTCACAGAGTCGGGAGCTGGATGCTGCTGGGGAGGCTGGCTCTCCACAGTCCTGTTCTCTTGATCTGGGGGTGCTCGCTCCATCTGCTCTCACCTCTCTCACTGATGTTTCAGGGGAGGTTTGTATTTCTGTCAAAGCTTCTTGTCCTAAGTAATCGTGGTTAGTGATTGCCACTGCAGAAGTGCCATGATTGGCTGTAGCACCTGTGCTGGTTCCCATGGATTTGGAAATCACCTTCAGCTTGTGCGAACTTGGTTTGTAGTGCTTCTTTTTGTGCTTAACTTTAGAATTGTGCTTTAAGAAGAACTCACATGACTCCTGTAGTACTCTTCTACTTTCACTGATTGGACTGTAAGAGAAACCAAAGAGAGGGTTTACTTGGCAAATGTTAAGTGTTATGAAGAAGCCAAAAAGCATATAATATATCTTATGCCAAAAATTCTTAGTCAATCAAGTTAAAAATTTGAAATGACTTATGGTTATGAAATCTGGGATTATAAATACTATGAGATATAAGTAGACTGTCATGAAGTGAAATCTTTTTTTGCATACACCGTTAGTTGCCTTTGTCAACATAAACAAGTTGGTGAGAAATTTAAGAAGTGAAACCAAAGGATGAGGACAAGGAAAGTCAAAGCGGCATAAAGTAGGGGACTATCTGCAAATTATATGTAAATACATCAAATATAAAAGTAAACCTGAAGAAAAAGGACGGAGAGTGGCTGGTTGTTAAATTTAATTATTTGCTAACATTAAAGTTAGTAAGTTATACTGAAGTGAGTATATAAATATGGGATAGATATATAATAATAGTGCAAAAAAATCAAAGTCCAGTTAAATGCAATTCTTCAGACTTCAAAAACTTAGAAAAGATCTATACTTCTGAGATTTTTACCACAAAAGAGTTTATTAATCAAACTAATGGGGAATAGTTAAAACAACTATACTACACTGTTGACCGTATAGAGCATACAATGTATATAAATAACCAAAATGAACTATTTACTTGTAAATCTACTATATTGTTATAACATGCTATATAAGTTAAAAATTTTACCATCTTAAGCAAGGCAAATAAGTGACATTTTAAGTCAGCACTATGTATAATAAAACTTCAAGGTAGTAAACAATGATCATACAATATATTTGAATCCTACTTTATAGATTCCCTTACATATATTTGATCCCATTTATTCTCTTATCACTGATAAGAAAAATTAAAATTTAAAATGCTGCACCAAATAATGAATCCAGTGACAACAGGAATAATCTTGAATATAAGCTGTGGAAAGAAAATGCACACTTTACAAATCTTTCATTCATATTTCAATAGAATAGTGTAGGTCAAAGACTATTTTAATGAGTGCCAAACAAAATAAAGTATGTTTCTCCAGGCTCCAGGAAAAAGAATTCCAAATTTGACAAAATAGCTGACATAACGAAACTCCACTGAGTGAGGACTTAAATAGTTCCTTGGTATTTGTTCTACTTAACTTAAAACAACATCAGATAATTCAATAGATTCTTACTCTCTCTTACGATTTCGTTTAAAAAACCCAGCCCATTCTGTGCATGTCTTTTTGCTTCCAACCCAGAAGACGGCAGAGATGCCAACAATTAATGTCATCAGATATTTTATCATAAATAAAGCCAATTCTGGTCGAGTTTCTGTTTTAGCCTACAAAAAAAAAAAAAGTGAATAATAAAAATTTCAGTGGTGCATTTAAAGTGGAGAGAAATCTATATAGTCAATGTAAAACTCATACAAAAAGTATAAATCTCCAGTCTGTTTTATTATAAAATGTTTGACAGAATGTAATGTAATGAATGGTGCTGCTTTAAGTGCATTTTTTTTTTAAAATTTATGATAGGCACACAGTGAGAGAGAGGCAGAGACACAGGCAGAGGGAGAAGCAGGCTCCATGCACTGGGAGCCCGACGTGGGATTCGATCCCGGGTCTCCAGGATCACGCCCTGTGTCAAAGGCAGGGGCTAAACTGTTGCACCACCCAGGGATTCCCCCCCCCCTTTTTTTTTCTTTTCTTTTTTTTTTTAAAGTGCATTCTTTATTAAAGTTCTGAATGAAGAACTTTTATCTGTTTATCAAAATATATAATTAGAAAGGGGAAATATATTTAGGAAGAACATCCTAAATCTTGGCTTGATTTCCCAGCATTTTTTCCTGTAAGTATAGCAGCCTCTTATAATTGCCAAAATATTTGGCTCTAAGAATTCATCTACTTTCCCTCATTATAATCAACCAAAAAATCACACTTAAACTCATTGGAACAACATACTATTTTAGAGTCTTTACGCATTGTTGTTTATGTTATAAAAAATTTGGTTGGTTAGGGTGAAATAAGTATCAATACAATACAGTAAAATAAGTTCTGCTTTTATAAGCACATACAAAACCAAAAATTATAAGATAATATGATCAAATTAAATATATCCAAATAAGGTCTCTTCCCACTACAGAAGAAAGAAAACTCCCAATTCAGCAGAAGTTGACAGACCTGTTCTTCGGTTTCTTCCTCATTATTATCTGCCTTTGAAACTGAATTTAATTTTAAAAGAAGAGCTACAGGAGGCACTCCAACCACTGTAACCAAAGCCAAAACTTGAGGACAGAGCAGCTCTGGAGGCATGGATCCCAGTTTCATCTGATGCATGAAGAATCATTTCCTCTATCTGCTAGACTTTCTTACAGGAGATCAAATGTTATGGTCATGAGTAGTTCAAGTGTACTTCCAGGGAACATTCTCCAGATTAAAGTTAAATAGTGAACTAATACAGGGGTACCTGGGGGGCTCAGTCAGTTAACTTTCTGCCTTCGGCTCAGGTCATGCTCTCAGGGTCCTGGGATCTAGCTCAGTGGGAAGCCTGCTTCTCCTTCTGCACTCCCCACCCCTGCTTGTGAGCTCTCTCAAATAACTAAAGTCTTTAAAAAAGAAATAGTGTAATGAACTAATACAAACGTTCTTTACCTGATAAGGACACGGGATATGGTACTGACGACAGTGGTCAGAGACCCAGGTTATCTCCCAGGTGATCCTATTCACCTGCTCATAGACGTAACATCCCAGAAGTGTCACCAGTGGCACAAGATACAGGCCACTAAAGACTCCAATTCGAATCATAAACTTCTTTAGTTTCTCTTGGTTCCGGCCATCATGTTGTATAACTTGTCGAACATGATTTAAGGAAATAATGCCAGCTAAAAGAAGAGACAGCCCGACAAACACACAAAGGCACAGTGGCAAGAGTACAAAGTAGCGAGAAGCATCCAGGTCATAAAGGCCAACAAAGCAAACGCCACTAATGTTGTCTCCTTCAACTTTGTTCATAGCAAGAAGCATAACAGTCAGAAAACCTGGTATTCCCCATGCAACAGCATGAAACCACACTGCTTTTTGTTCAATGGCTTCACAACTCCATTTTCTTCCTGCAGCTAAGAACCATGTAATGGTAAGAATCACCCACCACACGGTGCCAGCCATTGTGAAAAAATACAAAAACATAAACAGAACAGTGCAAGCCTTATTCTGAGAACCCAGAACTACTGTGTTACCGAGTTCTAGCTTCTCATCTGCCTTGTTGCAGGCTGTGCGATCGCCTAACAAGAATCCGATAAAGTACATCAGGGACACAATGCTGTAGCAGACGGAGTAATATATAATTGGTCTCTCTGGGTATCTGAATCTTTTAACGTCAATTAAGAAAGTAAGGAATGTGAACAGAGTTGCACAGAGACAAAATATTGAAACTATTCCAATAAAACTTTTTGCAAACTCTAGCTCATCGCTTTTAAAATACATGTTAGGGCATGGAGGCGCGCACTGGTCAATCCCCAGAAACTTATAGCCTTGTCCCGCAGAAGTCTTAAGATGCCTTGGACACCAAAATCCAATGTCTCTCTGGACTTGCTCTGTGTTCTTCTGAGGACCAAGAAACTGTGTATGTGGATCAAAAGTTACAGGAACAGTCTCATCACAGTACTGCAATCTGTAAAAATGATAAAAACTGAAGTCAACATTTTTATTGATTCACTATTTTATTTTTTTTATTTTTTTATTTTTTTAATTTTTTTATTTATTTATGAAAGTCACACAAAGAGAGAGAGAGGCAGAGACACAGGCAGAGGGAGAAGCGGGCTCCATGCACCGGGAGCCCGACGTGGGATTTGATCCCGGGTCTCCAGGATCGCGCCCTGGGCCAAAGGCAGGCGCCAAACCGCTGCGCCACCCAGGGATCCCTTGATTCACTATTTTAATGTATGCTTTCCAGCTATAAAGTGCTACCTTATGCATTCATAATTGATGGGAGGACACACAACCTGATAGATTATAGGTTAGAGCTTTGAAGTTAACTAAAAACTTGTAGTTATTAGTGAGGCCCCAACACGCTAACATATGTTTAATACAAGGCAAATGAATATGAAAATTTCCTTACTCAGAAAATGATCAATTTAATAATTTTTATTTTGTAAACTTTTTTTCAAGTAGGCTCTATACCCTAGGTAGGGCTTAAACTCACAACCTCGAGATCAAAGAGTTGCATGCTCCACTGACTGAGCCAGTCAAGTGCCCCAATTAATAACTTTTAAATAATTTCTGTTTCCAAGACTAAATATCTAAGAAGAAATTCATCCTAAAAAAAAAAAAAAGAAAGAAAAAATTTATCTTAATTAGTAGTCTCCAGACAAATAAGTGCTGGCTTGTCTGTTTACAGTATTAGAAATATAAGCCATGGGGAAATTCACTTGTTTTCTAATGCCCCCAAGTAAAGCGGCTCAACCATATGACTAAGGTGTTAACAGCTAAAATTGACTGAAATGAGACCCTTCCCTTTCCTGGATTGGGTTAGGTGATCTCTACAGAAGATCACCAAGAGGTAGACTCAGACCAGCTTTTTTTTTTTTTTTTTTATAAAATTTTTTTTTTTTTAATTTATTTACGATAGTCATACAGAGAGAGAGAGAGGCAGAGACACAGGCAGAGGGAGAAGCAGGCTCCATGCACCGGGAGCCCGACGTGGGATTCGATCCCGGATCTCCAGGATCGCGCCCTGGGCCAAAGGCAGGCGCCAAACCGCTGCGCCACCCAGGGATCCCTCAGACCAGCTTAATTCACATCACTATTCTGTTTGTTTGGCTGTTTTTTTAATTGAGGTATAGTTGACATACCATATTATTTGAGTTTTAGGTAGGTGTACAACATAGTGATTTGACATTTATATACATTGAGAAATGGTCCCAGGTAAATCTAATCACCATCTGTCACAAAACTAATATAATGTTATTAACCATACACTATATCCCCATGACATAACTGGAAGTTTTTACTTCTTGCCTCCCTTGTTTATGGCATAGCAGAGTGAAGTATATTTCTATTTTGTGAAAAACTTCTACTCAGTTAAATTTTTTTTTACAGTTTTAAACTTAAATTCAATTTGCCAACATATAGTATAACACCCAATGCTCACCCCATCAAGTGCCCTTCTCAGTGCCCGTCACCCAGTCACCCCATCCCCCCCTCACCACCCCTTCCACAACCCTTTATCTGTTTTCCAGAGTTAGGAGTCTCTCATGGTTTGTTTCCCTATCTAATTTTTCCAACTCAGTTCCCCTCTTTTCTCTTATAATCCCTTTCACTATTTCTTATATTCCCCTTATGAGTGAAACCATATGATGACTGTTCTCTGATTGACTTATTTCACTCAGCGTAATACCCTCCAGTTCCATCTACGTTGAAGTAAATGGTGGGTATTAGTCTTTTCTGATGGCTGAGTAATATCCCATTGTATATATAGACCATATCTTCTTCATCCATTCATCTGTCTACTCAGTTAAATTTCTACACACCAATATTAATTTGGAGGATCTGTATGGTTTAAAAATTAGTGGGAGCTTTAGGGCACCTGGGTGGCTCAGTCGGTTAAGTGTCTGACTTCAGCTCAGGTCATGATCTCGTTGTCCTGGGACTGCAACCTACAGTGGGCTCCCTACTCACAAGGAAGTCTGCTTCTCTCTCTTCCTCTGTCCCTCCCCACACTGTGCTCTCTCGCTCTCTAAAATAAATAAAATCTTAAAAAAAATTTAAATAAATTAGTGGGAGTTTTTAACAAGAAGAAATTTATTTTACGTAAATACTTACTTATTTAATTTTTTAAAAGATATTATTTTTAAGTAATCTCTACACCCAATGTGGGATTCAAACTCATTACCCCAGCATCAAGAGTTGCATGCTACACCAGCTGAGCCAGTCAGGTGCAGCAAAAAGAAAACATTTAAAACATGCTTTAGAGGGCTCCCTGGGTGGCGCAGCGGTTTGGCGCCTGCCTTTGGCTCAGGGCGCGATCCTGGAGACCCGGGATCGAATCCCACATCGGGCTCCCGGTGCATGGAGCCTGCTTCTCCCTCTGCCTATGTCTCTGCCTCTCTCTCTCTCTCTGTGACTATCATAAAATAAAATAAAATAAAATAATAAATAAAATAAAATAAAATAAAATAAAATAAAATAATAAATAAAAACATGCTTTAGATATAGATAAGAGTAGCAAATAATAAAATACATGCCCAGAAAAAGAACATTATGTATCTACCAACATTTTATTTTATTTTATTTTTTTAAATATTTTTTTAAATTTTTATTTATTTATGATAGGCACACAGTGAGAAAGAGAGAGGCAGAGACACAGGCAGAGGGAGAAGCAGGCTCCATGCACCGGGAGCCCGACGTGGGATTCGATCCCGGGTCTCCAGGATCGCGCCCTGGGCCAAAGGCAGGCGCCAAACCACTGCGCCACCCAGGGATCCCTACCAACATTTTAAAAACTTAATATTATGTCAGTTTTGCTTTATATCTTTTAAAATAAAACAATATAACATTAGATATCAGGTGGGACCCCTTTCTGGTTTTACTCTCTTTTTCTCTCTCCCCAGAAATACTCATTACCATACGTTCAGTTTTTATTCTCCTTATGCATTTAAAAAAAAATCTTTCCTATGTGATTTTCTAACCATAATATTATATAGTATTGTTTCACAGGTTTTGAATTTTATATAAATGACACCGTACTATATATATCATCCTATAGCATCCTATTTTTACTTAATTTTTAGATTTATCCATGCTTATAGATGTGGATCAACTACATTAATTTTATCAACTATATGGTAGTATTCTAGTATATAAGTACATCACAATTTACTAGTCATTCTTCTACAATGGACTTTCAGTTTTTCCATTTTTTAAAAAAATTAGGAATAATTAGCAATCAGTATTCTTATGTATGATCCACTGTTTGTGTAAAAGTTTCTATAGAGAGGGATTGCCTAGAATGTAAGGTATGAGTATGCTCAACTTTACTATATATTACCAATTGTTCCTAAAAACGACTATGTGTTCACCAGAAGTGTATGACTTCCACAAAGCATCTGTATACTTCCTTTAGTCTATAGATAAAGAAACAGAAAGGTAGACACAGCTTCTTTCCCAGGTTTATCGTGTAAAGTCTCATTATTATCAGAATAACTCAAATTACAATCCCCTAATGTCTAGAGAATAGGAGACAAATGTTATTAATAAAGGTCAATGTGCAAAAAGGTCAGTGAATTGATAAGTTCATTTCCCCCCAGTTTGGGTCAAAGGCACCATTACATGTTCTCAGAGAACTGTGTACTTCTCTTTTGTTGTATCTAGCATGGTTATAATTTTACATTTATTATTATTATTATTTGATTGCTATTTGTTCTTCCCATATCACTGCAAAGTTCTCATTGCAAATCTGTTTTTGCTCACCATTATGTCCAAACGCTTATCACCCCAGTGGCTGGCATAAGTTAAGTGTACGATAAACATTTGTTGAATGAAATAATGAAACCCTGTCACAAATGTTCTGGAAAACTAACACCAGCATTAAAAAATTATTGGTAAAAAAAAAATAAAAAAATAAAAGATTATTGGTAGCTTTTAGTTGAAAATATAATTTACCTGTCACATTCAAGTTCCTCAGGCCATCGCATACCAAAAGTGTCGATTAGTTTTTTGCAATCAGAATATACTTTCTCACAAAACTTACGACAAGGTGGAACCACATTAATTTGGTCTGTGCATGCTGGTACGAAAGCTTTGCAAAGGAAAGTTTCAATGTTTGGTGAACATTCCAAATTTGCAAGGGGAAGAAAGGGCTATTAAGAAAAACAGCAAGATAAGTAAGGTTAGAAAACATTTTAATAACAAATGAATGAAATTAATTTACTATTCATACACCTTTTCACTTACACTCCAAAAGAATCTTTATCTCTCTCAATAGTCAATTTTTTTCACTTTTATTTATGTATTTTTAAACTAATCTCTATGCCAATGTGGAATTGAGTCATGTACTCTACTGACTGTGCCAGCCAGGTGCCCCTCAATATAGTCAAATTTTAAGGAGATAATTTCAGTTGGTCTGTTAGACTTATGAACCCTTCATACGCAATGGAATATTATAGTTCTATTAAATTATACATTTTTTAAAGAAGATGAGCTAAATCAAATCAAAAGCAAAGCATGAATTGATTGCTAGGTAAAATAAATTATGCAAATATCCCATTTATAAGTATATACCGGAACACCCAAACACTGTACTAAGCATTCTAGAGAGTGAAGGAATGTTTGGTGCAGTGGAACAGCACAGAAAGGGCATGAGTATCACTAGAATGTGTATATGCAGGGCAAGCTCAGAGTGGCTAGAATATAAGGTCAAAGAGGTGGTGTTAGGGTCCAAGTAAGAGAGGTGAGATTGGAGGTATGCTGGGCCTGATCCTGGAGACCAGGAATGACAATGGTAAATTGCCTGGATTTTCAAATCAAGGAATGAAATACTATTGGAGAGTTTTAAGCAGGGAGTATCTCTAGAGTCTGACAGCTGAGCTGGTATGCTGGACCCCCACTCATTGGCTTTGTGTGACTTTGTCAAATTAACTTTTCTGTGCATTAATTTTTTCATCTGTAACATGGCAATAATAGTAGTACCTGTTCCATAAGACTGTCATGAGAATAGAATTAATAAGTGTAGTGCACTTCACATGAGAAAATGCTCTGCATCACTCGCCATCAGGGAAATACAAATCAAAACCACAATGAGATACCACCTCACACCGGTGAGAATGGGGAAAATTAACAAGGCAGGAAACAACAAATGTTGGAGAGGATGTGGAGAAAAGGGAACCCTCTTACACTGTTGGTGGGAATGTGAACTGGTGCAGCCACTCTGGAAAACTGTGTGGAGGTTCCTCAAAGAATTAAAAATAGACCTGCCCTACGACCCAGCAATTGCACTGTTAGGGATTTACCCCAAAGATTCAGATGCAATGAAACGCTGGGACACCTGCACCCCAATGTTTCTAGCAGCCATGTCCACAATAGCCAAACTGTGGAAGGAGCCTCGGTGCCCATCGAAAGATGAATGGATAAAGAAGATGTGGTAATGTATACAAAGGAATATTACTCAGCCATTTGAAACGACAAATACCCACCATTTGCTTCAACGTGGATGGAACTGGAGGGTATTATGCTGAGTGAAGTAAGTCAATCGGAGAAGGACAAACAGTGTATGTTCTCATTCATTTGGGGAATATGAATAATAGTGAAGAGGAATATAAGGGAAGGGAGAAGAAATGTGTGGGAGATATCAGAAAGGGAGACAGAACATAAAGACTTCTAACTCTGGGAAATGAACTAGGGGTGGTGGAAGGGGAGGAGGGCGGGGGGTGGGGGTGAATGGGTGACGGGCACGGAGGGGGACACTTGATGGGATGAGCACTGGGTGTTATTCTGTATGTTGGTAAATTGAACACCAATAAAAATTAATTTATTAAAAAAATATATATATAATTAAAGCATTAAAAAAAATAAGTGTAGTGCACTTCAAATAGTGTTTGGCATTTAGTAAGCACTCAATAAACGTCAGATTGTGATGATTACACTTTAGAGAATACAGATGACTTCTGGATAAACCTGGCACACTAATCACAGATGTTGACCCCCTTTCCCTCCTCATGCTTCCTCACTAAAATTATAATAAAGAGAAAAAAAAGGTACTAACCCATTGGTAAGTGAACAGAAGAGACCACATTAGCATATCTGACTTTTCTGGAGAACAAAAACAACAAGCCCCAACCTTTCCAAGACAGGAAACTATTAGAGGAATGGAAAGTTTGAGGAAGCCCGGGTGGCTCAGTGGTTTAGTGCCACCTTCAGTCCAGGGCATGATCCTGGAGACCCGGCATCGAGTCCCATGTCGGGCCTCCTGCATGGAGCCTGCTTCTCCCTCTGCCTGTGTCTCTGCCTCTCTCTCTCTCTCTGTGTCTCTCATTAATAAATAAATAAAATCTTTTTTAAAAAAAGGAACGGAAAGTGACATAATGGAACACAGGACAGACTAAGAACTAGGAGTGGAGGGATTCAGGTGACAAGGAGCTGACGTGCCCTAAATAATCTGAAAATCGAAGTTCTTTGAGATACCAAGTAACACAAGAGGCTACCCTCACACTTACCCCAGTAGCCAGAGGATTACTGCATTCTACTGGGGTTATTTCCAGGAAAAAGGCAGCTAGTGATGGTGTGCACTTGGGGCATCAGGCACAGGGCAAGAATACAGCACAAAGTGAAAAGAGGGGGACTGAATAACAGTCTGCCTACAGAAACGTGAAGCCCTTATCTTCCTGTTCCTGTTCTGCTCAGGCATATACCCACCATCCTCATTCTATGAAAAAATTCAACAGTCTTGAAGAGCTCTACATTCTGACAATGAAAAAGACAGTTGACCTTGAATTCACCCTACTATGAAGTTCATTACTAACAACCCCCATTCTTGCAAATGGAGCTTTTTAGTGACCCACACAAATATAAATGGGCAGCCAAGAAGGATCATCAGGCATTTGAACAAAGCCTCCCACATCAAATAGAGACCAAAACAAACAAGTAGATAATTGAATATTTGGAGGAAACAGAGATATAGGGAACAGAAGAAAACAAATCACAGAATAAAGAAAAACCTTAATATCTTAAATGAGAAGTTACTGCAGTCATTTAAAACGGATGGAGTGCTAGAGAAAATTAAAATAAGATAGCTCAAATAAAAAATAAAACAAACAACTACAGAAGGATAGAAGATAAAACTGAGGGAAGAGATGGACAATCAGAGAGAAAATCCTCCCAATCAGAGGATCAGCCAAGTGTCCAACACATGACTAAAGGAGTTTCAGAAAGAATAGGGAAAATGGGGGTGTATGGATGGATGATAATCAAAGAACATAAGAACATTTTTCACAACAGAAGGGTACTAGTTTACCAACTGAAAAAGCTGGCATCACACTGCAACCTTACTAGTAAAACATTTCTGGGCTATAACTACAATTTATTTTTAAGATTTATATATTTATTTGAGAGAGAGCATGAGCAGGGGGAAGGGCAAAGGGATAGGGGGAGAGAGAGACTCTTAGGCAGATTCCTTGCTTCTGTTAATATCTAATATCAGATACTAGGAGACAGTGCAAAAATAACTCTAATATTCTCAAAGAATATTACTTTTAACCTGGAATTCTATACCCAAGCAAACATTTAGGTAACAGTAAAATGATGACCTTTTTGGCTCTGTAAGAAATAAAAAATGTTAACTTTGAAGCAACTATAAGACACGGTATTCCTAAAACCAACTGAAGGAATATGAATAAACCATGAAGAAAAGTGACATAGGACTCAGGAATTAGTTGATCCAAAACTGGAGAATGGCAAGAGGAAGCCTTAGCATGGCAGCTATGTATCTACTGCAGAAAGCAATCAGGGCAAGGAGGAATGTCTTAGGGAATGGGAATGGAGGACTGGAATTGACAGGTTATATGATATTTTGAGCATCTGGAAAAACTGCTGTTACATGTCTAAAAATCTGCTGGGACATCAGAAAAAAAATTAGCTGTAGGTACATAAAAACAAAGTAAATGGGGAAAAATGCAGTTACTACATTAAAAAAGAGGAAGGGTACTAAAGAAATACAGGGGCAGCCCGAGTGGCTCAGCGGTTCAGTGCCGCCTTTGGCCCAGGGTGTGATTCTGGAGACCCAGTATGGAGTCCCACGTTGGCTCCCTGCATGGAGCCTGCTTCTCCCTCTGCCTCTCTCTCTCTCTCTTTCTCTCTCTCTGTTGTCTCTCATGAATAAATTTTTAAAAATCTTTAAAAAAAAAAAAGAAATACAAGCAATCAAAGCATAGTACTTGACTCAGTAATGTACAATATTTAATGTTCCTAGTAATGCTAGCACTCATGATTGATTTAATCAAGAGCTGTGTTAGAAGGTTGGGCGGAGAAGTAAAAAAGGTAGAGTAAGACAAATTATCAACTGCCATAATAAGAGAGAATAAATAGAGACTGCCTGAAGTTTTAAATCACTAAATAACAGAGTAAGCATATTAGAACATGGCCCAAGTATCAGAAGATCCCTGAAAAAGTTCAAAGTAGCTGCCTTTGGGGAAGAGGACTGGGATGGGGAAAAAGAAGAGTGGGCAGGAACTGCTGTTTTTCTGTTAATAGCCTTTAATATTGAGAATTTTCTTCCAGTTTTATTTGGGTATAACTGGCATACATTAAAGTGAACATGTATAAAGTGTAAACTTTTCTGGGTTTTGAAACCATTATCACGGTCAAAGAAATAAATGTATCTATCACACAATGAAAACTTTCCTCTTGCCTCTTTGAAATCCCTCCAATCCCTCCTTCCTATCTCCCCTCTTACCCTATCCCCCTACCCCAAGACAGTAACCTCCCCTGGTTAATCACTGATATGCTATCATTATAGAGTAGTATTTCCTAGAGTTTTAGACAAATGGAATCATACAGTATATATTCTTTTTTGTCTGGCTTCTTTCACTTGGCATCATTTTGAGATTCAATCATGTTGTTCTGTGTATCAACAGTTCATTCTTTTTAATTGCTAAGTAGTATTCCATTGTGTGTTTACACCATAATTTGTTTATCCATTCACCTGTTGATGGACAGTTTGAAGTGCCATGGGACATGAGGGTGGATATCCACTAGCTGACAATTAAATAGAGCTCTGTAGGTAAGAGACTTTAGGTAGGACATAGATTTGGAACCCATCATTATAAAAATGGTAAATGAAATATGTGAATGATATTACCTAGAGAAC